TCTTGTCGTGGAGCACACGGTGGACATCGTTGGATGCGACGGTCGAACTATCATATCCATGTATCTGTGGTAGACGGGCGCATGCCGCTCAGATTATGGAATGCGCTCGTCCTGTCGAGCCGTTGCATTCCTCTTGCCCACCACTGGGCGGCCATACACGTATGGCCATAGGCCAGGAGTCTTTTGATCTACATTAAGTGAGTCTATCCGCCTTTCCCCTGACAAGTACCTACAATCAACAATTACGCCTCTCACTTATTCATTTCGCTCTACGATGGGGGTGAAACAGACAACCTGAGAATCTAGGCGCACAACTCGATTTTTCCCAATGGCCTTCTTCCTTCAGATACCATGACCCCCAGCGCATCCAGAGCTTGTCCTGACCTCAGACACGGAAGGAGCCTACAGTTCAGTGGCGGAAACCTTAACCAATGATCAATTGGCCAGGGTCCGAGACTCGGGCTCACCGGCGCCTGAGATTGGTATATCGCTGGCCCACCGGCGCCCATTAAGTCAAAAATGGACAATTTAATATCTCCATGCCTGTTTGAGCCTTGAATGCTAATTGCGATGCGTGCGCCATAGACTCTCAAATTTAAGGCAAACGGAATTTCCTAGAACGTATTTACGAAGGAGGGATTCACTGGTTATTCTGCAAAACGAACAACTCTATTTCGAAGAAACACCACCTAGGACTTCTGGAGACGTCGGCTCGATGTTTGCGTAGTCCATTGGTGTTTTAAGCCTGCGCATTAAGTACGCCAACCGTTCCGGCTTTACTCGACTATTTAATGCCTTCCAGGATGCCCCACTAAAACAGCATGAAAAGAAGTACGAAAGTTATTTAGGGAACAGACAAAAGAGTTCAGAAACCATAAGAACATACAGAATGCCAGCTAGCATAAGCCCCTGGCTAAATTCCATCTTATCTACCACTTTTCTATTTCTCGTCTTAGTCCCAGTACGTCAAGTGTAAAATGAATAAAGCCCAATTATGGGGTATTCTCGTTCTGATTTTTCAGTCCGTATTTGTTCGTCCTCTCTATCTCGTGTGCTTGCCACGGTCCTGGTTACAACAATTTATTCATCTTACAACTCCAGAATGGATCGATTCCTTAGGCCTGAACGATTCGATGCTGATCCAAATGCTCAAGACGCTTCTAAACAGTGGAATCATTTGTTTCGCACATTTGAAGATTTCTTATCCATGATCGATAACCTCAAACGGATAAATTAAGCGTTCTGACAAACTCCTTTTCTCCGACAGTCTGGAAATACATTAGTGAATCCTCCAGTTACAAAGCTGGTAAATTGCAGTGAGATCTCTACCTAAGCCCGCTATCTTCTGGCAATCTGTAGAGAGGAAGGCAGACAAACCCTCGACCAGTCTGCTCAAAAGCTAAAGTCCTTAGCTAAGGACTGTGATTTTAAAGCTGCTAAGGCCGGACAAAATCGCGACGGTGCCATTAGAAATGTGTTCATCAGTGGCCTTTCATCAAACCAGATTCGGCAGAGGTTGTTGGAGCAGAAGAATTTAAACTTTCAAACTGCCTTTGATCAGGCAAGGTCACTGGAATTGGCAGAATGACAGTCTCAACCGTATCAGAACCCTCCGACCTCATTCTCTGTCGCTACTGAAGCATGTGAGACATCGTCGAGTCCCGTCAAGGAGCCTGACCTAGTGGCTTCCACTTCATTCCATAGCAAATGTTTTCTTGGTGGATACAACAAGCCCCGCCTTCCGATGTGTCCCGCACGCGATGCGTTATGCAAACGGTGCGGTAAAAAAGGGCACTTTCAAAAGGTGTGCCTAGCACCACGAAATCGAAAAGCCTTCTCTTCCGCTATGTATCCCACCATTTCCGCCGTGGCATCAGCTGCTGTTCCCGACTGTCTTTCAGGCGCTGTGGTTGAATTACAAATAAATGGGGCTACTTTTCAGGCCCTACTCGATGCAGGTAGTTCTGAAAGTTACATTTGTTCTTCAGTGGTGCTCCGAAATAAGCGGAAGGTTCATGACTCTCGCACTAAGATACCCATGACCACCACAGCCTTAACCAGCGCCACGCAAGGACATATTGTTGTCACTATTCGATATAAAGGTACAATATATGAGAAGATAAAGCTATCGGTCTTGCTGGATTTGTGCGCCGCTGTTCTACTTGAACACGACTTCCTCCGACTCCATAAAAGTGTTGAAATATCTTTTGGTGGACCTAAGCCTACGTTCTCGCCTTGTTTTGTGGCTGCCGCTTGCGTCGAGCCTCCCCGTTTCTTTCCCAATTTGACACCGGACTGCAAACCTATTGCTACTAAATCTCGTATACACAGCAATGTGGATGAGAGATTTATACGAGAAAATCGTCACCTTTCTGTGGGTGTAATTGAGCATTCATTATCTCCTTGTCGAGCCCAAGTTTTGGTGGTAGTCAATGAAAACCACAAAAAGCGGATGGCTGTTGATTATAACCGAACGGCCAACAAATACACATTTCTAGATGCCTACCCCTCGTCCGGAATAGAAGAAATGACTGAACGTATTGCAAATTACGACACGTATAGCACTCCTGATCTCAAGAGTGGTTATCACCAGATACCCATCCGGGTAGAGGAAAGACTGTACACTGCCTTTGAAGCTTGTGGACATTTATGACAATTTTGTTGTATACCGTTTGGTGTGACCAACGGGGTTGCATGCTTCCAGCGGGCCATCGACGACATAATTGCACGCAAACGTCTAAAGAATATTTTCGTTTGCGCTAACACTATCACTATTTGTGGGGACGGCTTCGCGGAGCATAATTGAATCCTTCAAAAATTCCTTAGCGCGGCTGAAAAGTACGGGCTAACATTCAATGAGGCCAAAAGTGTTATCGCTACTAAAGAAATTAAACTCCTTGGTTACGAGGTGTCCAAGGGCAGCATTAGGCCGGATCCGGATCGTCTAAGGCCTTTGCGTGAAACGACTCCTCCACATGATTTTAAGTCTCAGCAACGAGCTGTGGGACTGCTTGCATACTACTCACAATGGATATCTCACTATTCGGATAAAATTCATCTGCTCATCCATAACAAAACTTTCACTTTACCATTACAGATAATGGGAGCATTTGATGCTCTTAAGGAGGAACTTTCGAAAGCCACAGTGGCCACTGTTTGGTACGATACCCCATTAGTTGTCGAGACCGATGCTTCAGACGTCGCAATCGCTGCCACACTGAATCAGAATGGCCGACCAGTAGCGTTGTTTTCTCTGTCAAAATGAGCGACATCATTCGGCATACGCCGTAGTGGAATTCATACGCAAGCGGAAGCACTTCCTCCTCTGTAATCACTTTAAACTCATCAGGGATCAGCGTTCTGTTGCCTTTATCTTCGGCAATCAGCAAAAAGGGAAGGTCAAGAATCACAAAATCGAACGCTGGAGGTTGGAGCTATCACCATTCCAATTTGACATTGTCTACCGACGCGTAATCGCTGTGGCGTTCTACTAACCAGTGTCGAGCTGAAAGAACTACACGAGTCACTTTGTCATCACGGTGTCTCTCGGCTTTCACACTTTGTTCGAGCTCGGAATCTCCCCTTTTCGATGGAGGAGATTCGTAATGTCGTCGCTAAATGTCAGGCCTGCTGCGGAGTCAAACCCAGTTTCTTTAAAACACAAAGCCAACTGACCAAAGCTACCCAGCCGTTCGAACGATTGTCACTCGACTTCAGAGGTCCTCTTGCGTCGGCAACGCACAACCGCCATCTGCTGACGATTATTGATGAATCTTCTCGTCCCCTGTTTGCATTTGCCTCTCTTGATCAAACTGCCGAAACTGTCATTAAATTTTGTATCAGCTCTTTTCCACATTCGGTACTCCTTCGTACATACACACGAACCGGGGATCGACATTTATGTCAAAAGAAGTTCAGCAATTCCTTCACAATAAGGGAGTACGACTAGTAGGACAACTCCATAAAATTCCCCATGAAATGGTCAGGTTGAACGTTTGAACCAAACTTTACGGAAGACTATCTTGTTTGCTCTTAAACTCCAAAATCTGCCCGTCACGCACTGGGAGTCCGTCTTACTTGACGTTTTACGCTCAGACCAATTTTGTGCACCGTCACTAATGCGAAACCTCATGTGAGAATGTTTGTCTACAACAGGTCAACTACCGGGACTACTCTCCCCATGTGGCTTACCTCTCCCGGCAGAATTCTGTTGAAGAAGAGCTGTCAACGGTCTAAGTCTGATCCGCTCGTTTATGAGGTCGAACTGCTTCAATGTGACCCCAATATGCTCATATAAGACTCAATAATGGCAGAGAAGAAACTGTATCCGTTCGACTACGTGCACTCAACGGTGGGAAAGATGTTGGTGATTGTCACCGGGAGACGGCAACGCCTGTGCCAGAAAATTCAATCTCATTTACCTTGACCACCCACCCATTACTTGACAGGAAAAGAGCACCACTAAAACTAATGAACAGAATGATGAAACACCTGTTAGTGCATCTAACGCTGACGACGTTCGTATGCATAGCCAAGCGGACCTCGCGCTACTTGCTTGGGAACCAGTCAATGACCGGATAGCCTACGTGCGACTGAAGGGTCACTTCACGAACATCTCCATCGTCCCTGTGTACGCACCAACTTCGGCTGCCTAACAACGCGATAAAGAGGCGTTTTACTCTCAGTTGCAAGCGCTAGTTGAAAGACTGCCTCGCCGCGATCTGCTGATTGTAGCTGGCGATTGGAATGGTCGAACTGGACCTGGCGACTCCACAACCAGTCATCTTCTTGGCCGCTTTGGGCTTGGTTCCCGATGTGAAAACGGTGAGCGATTGCTGAACTTCGCAGATCGAAACCGACTGCTTGTCACCAACACATGTTTCCAGCATCGCAAAAAACATCTGCTGACCTGGTATTCAAACGACGGTCGTACGGCCAGTCAGATTGACTACATACTAGTCAGCTCAAGGTTCCGCAGCTGGGTTCACGATAGCAGATCGATGCGTGGTGCCGAGACTGGTAACGCCCATGGGTCGGACCATGTCCTCGTCCGTACACGCCTGAAAGTTCATCTCTCATCCGCACCAAAAATGCCACGTCCTAGACGCCTCAATGCCGCAAAACTCCGACAAGCCAACACCGCTGAGGCCCTAAGCAGAGAAATCCGGACCTGTTTTACGACCCGAGCCGACGGAGAAGTCAGTAACCAGTGGTCGTCACTGAAGACATCAGTCTATGGGGCAGCTGAGAAAACCCTTGGATACACCCAGCGACGCCGCAGTGACTGGATCAGCGGAAGAACCCTGAAGTTGTCTGCTCAGACGGCTAGAGCCAGGTCCCGCAACGATGACTATTTCCGCCAACTTCGGAAGATGACGGCAAAATCGGCCAGGAATGACCGGAAGCAGTATTGGGCTGAAATAGCGACATCCATGGAACAGGCCCCGAACGTTGGTGACACTCGAAAGCTCTACCGTCTGATCCGCCAAGTTAGCGGTAAGCCCTCTACATTGACTCTGTTCGCGATGTGAACGGCGGCTTTATTGCTGACAACTCGCCCAAAGTCGAGCGCTGGCGTGAGCACTTCGAGCACCATCTCAACTTCGATACCCGACCTACCTCGCCCTTGCTCTCCTCCTCAGCGGAGTTTCTTCCCTCTCCTACCTACGCAGTGCAATGCGATCCCCCCTCCGAGGAAGAAGTCGCCGATGACATACGAAAGTTGCGCAACAATAAGGCACCCGGAGAGGACGGTATACCCGCTGAAATCTTCAAGTCTTGTGTCGACACTCCGGCGCCCTGGCTCCATGAGGTGATGGAACGAGCGTGGAGAGACGAGGTTGTTCCTGATGACTGGGGCTTAGGCATCCTTGTACCTATCCTCAAAAAGGGAGATAAGACGAGATGCGAGAACTACCGCGGCATAAGTCTCATCGACGTTGCTGCGAAGATCTTCGCTATTGTCCTACTCAATCGATTCCAGGCTGTGCGTGACTCAAGGACGAGGCCAAACCAAGCCGGATTTCGTGCTGGACGTGGATGCGCAGATCAGATATTCACACTGAGGCGCATTCTCGAATTTCGCCATAGCTACCAACAACCGACGGCCGTCTGCTTCGTTGACTTTGCCGCCGCGTTCGATTTCGTTCACCGTGAGTCCCTGTGGCGGATAATGGCGCTAGACGGTGTACCGGCAAAAATCATCGCCATGATCAAGGCCTACTATCGCTCCACTACTGCGAGAGTCTTGGTCCGTAACAATCTTTCCCAACCGCTCGGTATTCGGTCTGGCGTTCGACAGGGTTGTATCCTGTCACCCATACTGTTCAACTACGCCATTGACTGGATCCTCGGGAGGGCCCTACGCGACAGTGACGGCGTTGAATTTGCACCCGGACATCGACTGACTGATCTCGACTATGCCGATGATATCGCCTTACTTGCTTCAAGTTTTGGTGATCTGCAGTCTATGGTGTCACGGGTGAACGAGGTCGCTAAATCAGTCGGTTTGTCCATAAACGCTGGGAAGACCAAAGTATTCTCAAGCTGCATCCCTGACCAGGAGAAGGCACCTCTGGGGATTGATGGTTGTCAACTTGAAAAAGTGGACAGCTTTAAATACCTCGGGGCGAGGCTGCTGCCTAATGGACAGAGTAAGGACGACAGTGTCTCCCGAATCGATGCTGCCCGCTGGGTTTTTTCAAGCCTTCGGAAATGTCTGTGGAACCGACGTGACCTCTCCATCGCCATTAAGATTCGCGTGTAGCGTGCATCTGTCCGGTCTGTCCTTCTCTACGGTGAATGCTGGGCTTTGCGCGTGGAGGATGAGCGAAAACTGAAGGTATTTGACCACCACTGCTTGAGGATCATCCTTCGAGTGAAGTTAACCGACTTCGTCTCAAATGAGACAGTCCGCGCTCGCTGCGACAACATCGCAAGGATAACTCAGGCCATCCAAGAAAGACGACTGAGGTGGATCGGGCGTGTTCTTCGTCGTCCGCCTCAGGAACTTAGTGTTACTGCCCTCGATCTGGCACCGTTGCCCCATTGGAGGCGTCGAAGAGGGGGTCAGTTCAAAACCTGGCTCGACACTGTCCGTCAAGACATGGAGGTGGTTCTTGGACCTTCGGTATTCGGTCTCCGTAGTTGGCGAAGGGAATGGGTTGAGCTGTCTAGATCTGCTGCCGCGGATCGTCACGCGTGGAGAGGTACAGTTCGGGACATCATCGAGGCCGGCTGGATCAGACATGATCGCAGCCGTATCAAGTAAGTACAAGTAAGCATAGCCTAGAAACAGATCCTACAAAGTGTTCATCCATGTAGCCTTCGTAACAGATACGCCCGAACTTCGCCACATGCTCATCTTTCCTTCCGATTTTTGACATCTCAATCCCTCCGTTTGTTAGCCGGGGTGAATGTCATGCTAAAATAAGCACTTGGCTAAATTCCATCTTATCGACTACTTTTCTATTTCTTGTTTTATTTCCAGTACGTCCGTTGTAAGATGAATAAAGCCCTATTATAGGGTATTCTCATTCTGATTCTTGAATTCGTATTTGTTTGTCCTCTTCATCTCATGTGCTTGCTACGGTTCTAGCTACAACGTAGAATGACAGAGCACTTCGAAAATATAGGAAGTGCCCAATCTTCATAAAACAAAAATATTCCACACTGTCAGATGCTGCATTGTACACAGACGTGAATTTCTACTAAGTGATTAGAAATGACACTATCTCGTGTTTTTCATAATAACATTAGCCGCACGTACATTTAATCGGCGACCGTTCTGACGCCGACCAGGACAATCCGTGGTGCACGAATTATCTATGGACGTTTCGTACGATCGTACTACTAAGGACTAGTCACTTTGTGCACATAGTTAACAAATTGATGTTTATGTCGGAACAAAATTAATTTTGCATGGTGTGCGTGTGAACAAAACGGGATGAATAGTGAAAGACACCGACACGTAGGATGTTAAGGTAGACGAAGCAGCCAGAACTTGCTTCGAAGGTAATGACATAAAGCCTTAATCATATTTAAGAAGGTAAGAATGAGCAAACATTTAATCGGAGACGCGCAATAAATTGGACATAAACGAGCAAATCCGGAAGAGATAAAGTCGGTAGACCGTACATGCTCATGCAAGGCCAGCTAAGAGCTTGGTGTACTTTGGGGGATTTCGTGATGTGACTTGTAGGCCCGCACCCAGTTTATTTGTAGACTGCCAGGCCCTGACTGTTTGAATGACTCGAAAACGCCACCAAACGCTTGAATACCAAAGTCGAGAGTTGACTTGTTGAGCGGGGGAGCATCATCAACAGGTTTACCCCAGTGGTAGGCTTTCATCTCCGAAAACGGGAAACGAATAGTTCCGAAATCTGAGGGCGCCTGAAATGGACAGAAGTGGCATTCGCAGTCACATCATGTTTTACTAGACGTGTGGGGAGAGCAGTCGTCTTTACCAAGCCAGGTGGCCGAACCATCTTTTCGAGGAATATCTTCTTTCTCGCCTAAACAGGGTCTGCAATGCATTGATGCATCGGATCAGGGACTCAGTGAAGGAAATTATTATACTCCGACTTAGAGTTCACAGGGATTAGGTCAACTTGCAGAGTCACTGGCAAGTCCGTCAAGTGTCTCCGTTAGAAAGACGCCCAGACTACCTTACACATATATTCTGTGGGACCGACAGAAACATACATGTTGGGGGACGCGTGGTCCTAATGCCTTGCTGCCAGTCACAAGATTCCCCGTCCTGAATGTAGGGAAGGTTGGTACCCCAAAAGGCATGATTAGTACTGAAGTCCAGGTTTGTGCTTCAAAGGCAATTTATGGGCGGTAGGTAGAAAAAAAAAAGGTTGCACGACCTTTAAAATCACAGTGGAGAAGGAATTTTAATGAGAGAATCTTAGCTAAAAACAGTAAATAAATGTCCAAAACTCCAATCGCCGAAACAGCACATCTAATTTTAGGCAGAGATCAAGAACAAGGGCCCAAGGCATCAAATTTGCCTTTAGACCACGTCCTGAATAACCCTTACGAGCGCGGTTCTTGTACCGTGCTGATGACAAAATTTGTTCGCCAGACTGGGAATCTGACATTCGTGGAACGGAGCATCATTAATGTCTGTCCGCTGTAGGTTGATAAGTCGGAGCCATGCATGTTATCCCCGGGGGTATTCGCGTATTAGTTGCGGCTTACAGTCACAGGTGGCAGGCATCTGACACTTGATAGTTTGACCGTCGTTGCCGACGATGTTTACCGTGTGCGAAGCAGGCACGGTGACTTGCGTTGCATCTACCGCACTCTCTCCTCCCCACCTGGAGCCGGTGTCAATAGATAGTCAAGAAGAATCTGACACTCAATACGATACCAATCAGCATAACGCATTAGCCGAAACGGTTACAACTGACTCGCTGATCTTCAAAAATTGCCTACAGTAGGAATCAAGTCTACCTAACGACAAGACACTCTTGGAGAAGAGGTTTTGGGCTAGGCGTGCTTGAAGATGGCGCTAAACGATGGCGTTTTACTTTACATACGTAGGAATCTTCGTAAGTGTAAGGTTAGAGATCAGTCTGCTTCATGACTTTACTCGACCTACTTTAAACAAAAAGGAAAACAAGTTTGGAGCACTGAGGACAACGTTATTTTACGAAGCAATTGTTGTGTTCTGTGTTTTCCTGATGTTTCTGGTTGCTTCGGCCTCCTCCCCACCAACAGTCACCTTTCTAACGAGATTGCTAATGCGTACTGCAGTGTACGACCTGGGCTCAGCGCTAGCGTTGCCAGAGGACACGCTAATTTGATAATCTACAGACTACCTAAACTCCCCTCACTGAAAATGGAGATATTGGAAATTTATTTGTCGACTCTGAGCACTAAATACCATGGTTGTGTATGCTTGTCCGTACTGGAGAGATGGTGCCATGTTGAATATCTTGATTCCCAGAAACCTTCTAGGCACATTCTAATGTCAGCGTTTACGAAATGTCTTCTTCTTGATAAAACACCTGTAAATTCCATCGGGAATGGATGTTTTTATTCAAAACATGGAGCACGGACACAAACTTCCAATATGTCGCCCGAATTTTGAGTGACTCCCTATTAAGGATACCGCTGCCAAACCTACTGATGTTACATAAAACAGGCTAATGTCGGCCCAACTAAACGTAGGTACCGAGAGAAACAACAGGTTTATCCAGGCGTTCAACAGGCTCGCTGACTTTACGAGGCCACTTGAGTCGACAAATCCCATACGCCATCAACAAAAGCGAAGAGCATAAAAATGTTAGTGCCCAAACTTGGCATTTGAACACATGTGAAGTGGGCGAGAAATTTGAGCGGGGGCAGCAATCGCATTAACGCACTGACAGATTAACACGACAAAGCCTGCGAAAGACCCACCTGAAATTGCTTTTCGTACGAGTACCTTTGGTCAAACACGACTTTAAACCATTCGTTGGACCCTGTACGACGTAATTCCGCTTCGATTCCATCGTATTCCGTCAGGTTCCACCGGGTGCCATTATACTTAACACCTGCGAAACAAGCACCATTCGGCAGTGGATCCAACAAGTAGAAAAATATTGCACAACTAAAGTTCTGAGCACTTCCATCGCTGTTAATTATATTCTTACAGATCCACGGTGTGGAGCAATAATGGCCTTTGACTTCCCGCCTACGCGGACTGTATCAGAAACTTCGATCCAGTGCGAAAAATCGTGCAAAGTTCCAAAATCAAAGAGAAGACCATCTTCTCTATACCCCTTCAGCAGGTCTGGCACCATAATCAGCTCCAGGATGGTTGAAAACATCAACATTGCGAAAGGCAACAGACGGCAGCAACCCACCACGACCTGAGGACGCTGAAGTACGCGCGCATCCCTTTATATTTATATGGACCTGATTCACAAGCCTGCAACCGTCCCTGACATTAGCCAGTCATATTGTAACAGCGATTCGTTTAAACACAGCAACCTTCAGGCCAGTTTATTGACCGAAAAAACAGGCATGGGCCTGTTTTTAAAGTTTTCCATCAATTTTGTGATTATAACAGTCACGGAGAAGAAGTTCTTTAGTTTGACGATCTTGGCAGTGAGGGAGAACTTCTGAAAACCTACTCTTGCCGCATACGTACCCCTCAAGGCTGGCATTTATTTCTGCCCTGATGATGTCCGATTATAATACGTTTTATGCCGCCACATACAGGTAGGTACTGCCCGCATTTTCCCGTTATTATTTTTAAGCGAGGCGTTTTTCTCCTGTAAAATTCATCTAATCATTTTTAAAATTTTAAGGGGAGTTTTTTTCACCTTTCGTTAATCACTTTTCTTAACGGATCACTAATTCAGAAACTATAAATTGCAATTTGCATAGATTTTATCTACCTCGTCTAAAATTTGCATGTTAATTAATTTTTTACTTGCTTTGATGGGACGCCGACGGGTTCAGGAGAAAAACTGCTGGTGGTATACATTCGACCGTCAAGAAGGTTAGGGGGGGGGGGGAGTTGCATGGTATCGGAGATTATCGAACTTCAATTCCTTTCATGAAGTTGAAGAAAGTCAAAGTAGAGGCGTTGAGGAACAGCTGTCGCTGCTGGCCAACGAAATTGTCCATGGTGAGGCAGGCCATAGTGTTCAGAGACCACAGACCCAATCGCTACCCTGCCAGCACCAGCCCCTTCTGGCCCCCTCATAGCCCTGCCTCATGAGGGGGCTATGGCGGGGCAAATCCCCGATGTGGCCCCCTCTAGCCCCCTCATCGAAAGAAAATTCGCAGGGGGACACCTTATAATTGTCGTCTTTTGCCCCCACCCCTGGCCATATTAGACTGTCTGACGGTAATGCGGATCCATAAACGTCTTATTACTCGCATTATAATCCTGATCCCCCTTTTCCTAGACTGATTTTCCCCGGTATCCGTCCTATATTATCCCTTGTTGCCTTCTTGCGAACCGTAGTACAAATCCACCCATCTTAGTCAAATTGTTTTCATCAATCGAGGTTGACACAATCTTTACCCATCGAGAGCGTGTCACTGCTTACCTAGAGAAGGCAAAATTTTTCCTTTGTCATGATCTTACTCCTATGGAGCGT